ACACATCGGTGACAAAGCATCTAAAAACAATGCTTAGTAACGTCAACGTCACACATCGGTGACAAAGCATCTAAAAACACTGCTTAGTGATGAAGTGCTAGCACGACGAGAGTGTGAGGGTCGTCCGACTCTGTAACGTCAACGTCACACATCGGTGACAAAGCATCTAAAAACAATGCTTAGTGATTAAGTGCTAGCACGACGAGAGTGTGAGGGTCGTCCGACTCTGCAACGTCAACGTCACACATCTAAAAACAATGCTTAGTGATGAAGCACCGCAAAGTCAGCATCTTGGCATTCTCGCGTGTGAAAACCACACACAAACCTTGATTGATCTAGCAACAACATCAACGAGTGGACGTGCTACTTTCTTAGGACGGTCAGTTAAGGTCAGGTTAGGTTAGGTTAGGTTAGGTTAGGTTAGGTTAGGGAGGACGGTCAGGTTAGGACGGTTTGGAGGTTTCAGTTGTAACTTCACTCTCTCACTGACCGCTACAGATCGGACTCACAGCACAAATCAGGAAACGTAAACTTCTGCGACAGAGAAGACCAACTCCTCAGCGTGTACGACTATAGAGAAACCATTCTCCGACCCCGCCACCGCCCCACCCATGCTGCCACCTACCGTCATTCTCCTCGGCATCTGATAGGACGATGAATTCGATGATTTTGGACGTGAAGTCGAACACGACGTGGGCGTCGCCACGCATCATGCTGACGGTGTTGCGATCTCCGTAGCTCGCGCGCGGCATGCCGCCGCGGAACACCACGTACGGCTCACTGCGGAAGGGAAGTCACGTGTGCACTCGTTAACACCAGGTGCGCGTTTACGATTCGCATTGATCGCATTAATTACGATTTGCATTGATATCATTAATTGCAATTTGCATTGATTTGTAACGTATACGATTTGCATTGATCGCATTCATTGCGATTTGCATTGATCTGTAACGTATACGATTTGCATTGATTGCATTAATTATGATTTGCATTGATAGCATTAATTATGATTTGCATTGATAGCATTAATTACGATATGCATTGATTTGTAACGCATACGATTTGCGTGTAAGGGCCGTGTGTTGCCCAATGCAGCGCTGCCACTTTCACTGCAGACGAACTGAGGGTAAGTACATTTACATACAGAAGTACTGATCTCTTGTTTCTGCGTAGCAGAGGAATGCTTTCTCTCGTGCATAGCCTACGCGAAACAAGTGCGATGCACTCTCCTTACATCTGCAACAATCTAACAACTACGGCAGCAAAATACTGCTAGTGAGGAAGTAGTGGTACTTACCCTGAACTTGTCATGTAACTAATCTTCGAGATTGCCTTGCACGGAAACGGACCTGAAACAACGCCGACGGTTAATAACGTTGAATATATAAAGTCTAACACGTAATAAACGACTAATACATGTAATAACGATTAATATTTAATAACGACGGCAGTCAATAGTGCGTGCGTTATCGCCCGCACAATGCATTTCCTCTCTAGCCCTAATCTTCTATTCCTCCTTAGCTCCTCCTCTGATCTTTCACTGCATTTCAGTATAGTGATTTTAATGGGCACTTGACATGTGCATGGGAGACCACATGCAAGCAAGAATTAGAATGAAATGAAACTACTTTCACTGTTATTTGACCACCGGACAATTCGACAACATCTTGCGTGCTATAAATTTGCTACATATTACACTATATTTATAT